TAAAAAGGAAATTAAAAACCTCCTTTCCAAATGAATCATACCACACACATCCAATCAAATATGACTCCAATACACTATGATAGACTCTGCTCGTGGTCTTGCCTTTGCTTTGCATTTGTTCCCCTAGGATTCAATGTTTTATATATCCATACCAGTCAATGATGTAGAATAAGAGTTGAAATCATTACAGTTAACTTGAGCATGTTAGAAACCAGAGGAGGCTGAATGCAATCTGATAAGATGCAGCCTACACACAAATCAGAGTGAATAGGAGAACCATGCGGAAGTACACAACGCAAGCTGGGCAGCAACATTTGGGCAGATCACTAATGATTTACAAATAACAAATAGGATGTTGGGCTGTACTTTCAGCCTTCAACATTTTAATTTTCAGGCCCAGAGGCGTGGCCTAGCTGCTAAAGTCCTCGCCTTGAATGCGCCAGGATCCCATATGGGCGCTGGTTCTAATCCCAGCAGCTCCACTTCCCATCCAGCTCCCTGCTTGTGGCCTGGGAAAGCAGTCGAGGACGGCCCAAAGCCTTGGAACCCTGCACCCATGTGGGAGACCCAGAAGAAGCTCCTGGTTCCTGGCTTCTGGTAGGCTCAGTTCCAGCCATCACAGCCATTTGGGGAGTGAATCAGTGAATGGAAGATCTTTCTTTGTCTTTCTGTCTGTCTCTTCTTCTCTCTGTAAATCTGCCTTTCAAACAATAAATAGATAAATAAACAAAATAGATGTTATTTAAAAAGAATATTATTAAAATATTATTTTTTAAAAAGAATGCCACTAAGACGTCTATTGGAGAAGGATGTAATGAGTAACCATGTGAGCAAGCGTTCAATTCCATGAGTAAACAAAGAAATGAAATTAACACACTAATTATTAACCATCCAAAAAGGTTTCCTATAAAAACCAATGCTAAAATTGCAAGGGAACTGGAACACTCATGTATCATTGTGACACTAAAATTGTGTGCAGCCCTTTTGGAAGTCATAATGTATAAAAGTGGCTACACTCTTAGTTCTGCAAATCCCACTCCTGGGAACTTGTCCTAAAGACGGAACTACAAAGAAGAAAAGCCTTAAGCATTAAGATACATAAAGCACAGAAAATATGCATTACTGAATATGCAATAATAGAATAGTTAAATAAAATATCAACCAGTGATAGATACTGTTTAATGGTATCATTAAAATGATAAATATGAGATATTATAATAGGAGGCAGAATGTTTACAACACGATTTTCAAAAGATTTATTATAATTTATATGAAAGAGTTATGGAAAGGGCAGGAGACAGGGGTTTGGGAGAAACAGAGAGAAAAATCTTTCATCCTCTGGTTCAGTTCTCAAATGACAGCAATGTCCAGGGGGTAAACCAGCCTAAAATCAGGAGACAGGAACTCTCACATGGAGGGCAGGAGCCCAAGCACTTGGGTCATCATCTACTGCTTTCCCAGGAGCAATAGCCAAGAGCTGGATCAGAAGCAACGCATCCAGGACTCAAACCAGCACTCCAGTATAGGATGCCAGCATTACAAGTAATGGTTTAACTCACTGTGGCACAACACCACCCCCACAATAGCTTTTGAAGAACAGGATTTTTAAAAATATATAAATCAGGCCCTACACAATGGCTCAGTGATTAAATCCTCATTTTGCAAGTGCCAGGACTTCATGTGGGTGCCAGGTCATGTACTGGCTGCTCCACTTCCCATCCAGCTCCCTGCTTGCGGCCTGGGAAGGCAGTAGGGGATGGCCCAAAGCCTTGGGACCCTCACACCCACAGGGGAGACTCAGAGGAAGTTCCTGGTTTCTGGCCTTGGATCTGCTCAGCTCTGGCCGTTGCGACCAATCGGGGACTGAATCATCAGATGGAAGATCTTTCTGTCTCTCCTTCTCTCTGTATATCTGTCTTTCCACTTAAAAATAAGTAAATCTTTTCTTAAAAAATATGTACATTATGATAATCGCATGTCTATGAATCAGATATTTGAACATGAGCTGAAAAAGAATAGAAGACAGATAAATGAAAATAATTGACTGGAAAATAATCATTTGGAAGTATAGGTATTTCCTTTCAGAAGTTCCTTTAATGGTACCACATTTGACTTTTTTAATGTTTTCTATAAAAAGCTTTAAAGAGGACAAAAAACAGTTACCACTGAAGCAAGGAAATGAAAAATGATGCAAATAAAGAAAAGAGTGTTAACGATCTTGCTTAAGAGGTCATTTGTGTTCTAAGTACAGGGAAGTGTAGGAAAAAAACAAGATTCAGTGAAGTAAGGGGTCATTGTGTGGTGAGTAAATGAGGTAAGTAGGCTTCTTTCTAGAAATCTGCCAGTTAAGTGAACAAAGGTGGGTAGACTTGCAGGTGGAAGAGCCATGCAGATTTAAAGGTCCAATGGTGATGTTTTGTGTTTATCAGGTTAGATTTCGTTGTTTGTTTTTAAGATGGGACCTGATAGAAGAGGTTGGAAATGTTAAAAAAAAAAAAGGAAAAAAAAAAAAGAATCATCTCTTACTCTGAAACTACCCGACAAAAAGGAACAAAGACAAGGCAGAAATAAAAGCAGAGTTATCACAAACAAAACAGAGGAAAGTTGAGATACCATATATGTTTTGTAGAAGCAAAGTAACTCATAAGATGTGATGAGATCGGTACCTTGAGAAACTATAAAAGATAGGAAAGAGCTGCTGTGAAATATTTGTCAGGAATGCAGCAGGTTAAGAGGAATGAGGGCTTAGGTGAAATTTCAGGTCATGAAATTTTAGTAAGTCAAGCCATTCTTGTGCTGTGGCTTGATCTGCTACGCAGTCCCAGGAATGAGGAGAAGGTTAGATCATGGTGAAAGTCAAAGTGTTTTCAACTTAGTAGGCAAGAGAATGCAGTCCACAAAGCAGCAGACCAGGAGGCCTAGGCAGTTAAGAAATGAAGGAAGCTGAGTTAGTTCTAATGGAGACAACTGCTTTCCTGAGTGGGGCTGGAGGGCATGAGAGCTGATGGCAAGGAGGCTGTGGTCATAGGCGAGAGAGAGAGAGAGAGAGAGAGAGAGAGAGGTGAGAGACACTCTAGGCAATAGTCATGAGACTTCCGACTTCATGATCAGTGAGGAGTGAAGAGAGAAGAAGGCCACTTCAAGTTATTTCCAATGAAAGAAGGGTCCTGGGTAGCAGGCTGGGGCCTAGAAAGAAGGAGGGAACCATCAGAGAATGAAAGGGGGACAAGAGGACAAAGTAGGACAAAGAAGTCATTTCCTTTCTGCAGTCCAGACCCATTCTTTTTTTTTTTTTTCTAATTGGAAAGTCAGATATACATAGAGGAGAGACAGAGAGAAGAACATCTTCCATCCGATGGTTCACTCCCCAAGTGACCACAATGGCGATCTGAAGCCAGGAGCCAGGAACCTCCTCCAGGTCTCCCACGCGGGTGCAGGGTCCCAAGGCTTTGGGCCATCCTCCACTGCTTTCCCAGGTCACAAGCAGGGAGCTGGAAGGGAAGTGGAGCTACCGGGATTAGAACCGGCACCCATATGGGATCCTGGCGCATTCAGGGCAAGGATTTTAGCCGGTAGGCCACACCGCCGGGCCCCAGACCCATTCTTAACTCTCCAAGAAAGATTCCTCAGAGGCCAAGAACAATTTTGTATCACTAGACAATAGGAAATAAGTGACAAATCAGTGTAGACAGGATGAAAGAAAGGCAAGCTGCAGTGGGAGTCAGGAGCAATTTCAGAAGGAGTCCCCTTCTCAGGCATCTCCACTGTTCAGAAATCCTCACTCCCAAGAGGCAGGTGTCAATGTCTCAAATTCCACCAGGCCTACCCAATCCATTGAACTTGAGAGACAGGGGAGTCAGTAGGTGGCAAACTCAGAGGGGAACCCTGCTGATACTCAGCACTCCACCATGGCCTGCAAGTCCAGAAGTCTGATCTGAAAGAGTTAGTACTAGATTTCTCATTTATCTGGGACAGGGACAAGAGAACAGGGAGTGACTAGGAAAGAGCCACCCTTGGGCGTCAGTTCCTGCCACCACCCATCCCTGTCCTGTGAAAACTTGTTCTGACCCTAGGTGCCAGAACTCATGAGCTCCTCCTTCCAGCCCAGCCATTCAGTCATGCAGCGAGCACAGGAGAGCTGCCCAGCATGGTCTCAACAAGCAGCTTTTCAGGAGGCCCAGCCCCTTGTATTTCAAAGGCTGTTATAATCAGTTTGGGACCTTCCCCTGCCACTAAGCGGGGTGGGGGGAACTCCCACGCTAGAACTCTATCCCATGGTTGCATACCAGCTCAACAGGACAAAGCATTCAGCTGTATGTGGGCACTCTGGCATGCAGTCTCTCTTGGGTTGTGCACTGGCTTGTCTTTGAAGGAAAACCAGGAGGTGGGCATAGGTGCTATGGCTGGTATAGCCTCAGCATCTGGGTATGCCAGGGTCCTCACATCCACTCGATCCTAGCTATCGCCATCAGATGAGCCAGGCTGATCCCCAAAAGAGTCCACCTTCTCTGCCTTTCCAGTTGTATGTTCTGTCTGGTGGGGCCAGAGAAACACAAGCTATGTGAGAGAGAGATGGGACAGGGGACAAAGATTCCAGGGAGCCTTGCAAGGATCCAGAAGCAGACCCCATGACTCCAAGAATGGACAGAGTCCAAAAAGAAAGAAGCAGCAGAGGCAGAGGAGTAGGCACTGCTGCCTTTGGCTCATGAGGAAAAGACACCCAGAGGGGTTTATGAGAGAGATGGGGCCACACAGGAGTTCCCTGCTAAGCTCCCAGCCCTCAGGGCTGGAGGTGGGGAGATGGGGAAGCTTCTCTCCAGAGCCTCTAAAAGAGGAGCAAGAGCCTTACTTATCTGGTGTCACTATTAGCAACTCCCACCCCTGCCTTTCCTGCTCACTTACCAGCATCCAAAGTTATGATCTGCCATCCGCAGGGGCAGGGCAGCAGCCATCCTGGGAAGTGACTGGCCACCTGCAGGTGCTTTCCTCAAGTAGGGACATCAGCGCCAGGAAGAAGTAGCTGTGGGGGACTGAGGCCTGCCAGTGATGCAGAGCTGCCGGAACTGACAGCTGTTCCCAGTGAGCAGGTAGAGCACAGGGTCCAGGCAGCTTTTAGCACTGGCCAGGGGCTGAGTCACTTTTTAGACCACATTGACGACGTTCAGCACTCAACAATCAGCCTCTGCCAATCTTGTCTGCAGGTGATGTGGAAAGGCACAAAGCAGTCAAGACATTGAGTACCACTACGATGGTGTGTAGAGAACAGAGCCGAGAAGCTGAATTGACAGCTCCAGGCAAGGGCCAATACAGGTGCCAGGCCATGACCCCATAGCAAGCATGAGTGACCAGGCAAGGCAAGCCAAAGAGCATCCCCATGACTGCCGAGCTGAAGTGACGTAGTAGCCAAACTCCTCCAGCCAAATGGTGTCATGGCACAGGATGCTGGCTCCACTGGTGCTGGTTGTGACAAAGAAGAGGTTGGGCACAAGGCAGCCAGCCATGACCAACCAAACTGCCAGGCAGAGAAGGCCTGCCAGGCAAAGGCGGTCCCAGTATAGTACCCACAGTGGGTGGCAGATGCCCAGGTAGCAATGCACACTGATGCAGATGAGGAAAAGAATGCTGCAGTAGAGGTTCCAGTGGAAGAGAAAGCACACGAACTTGCAGAAGCCAGTGCCAAAGGGCCAATGGTTGCAGGCTGCATAATAGTAAATGAGGGCGGGCAGCGGCAGCACATACAAGGTGTCAGACAAAGCCAAGTGGAACATGTATGTGGCTATTGCACCCCATGATCGGAGGCAGCAGAGGAAGAGCCAGAGGGCTGGGGTGTTGATGCCCAGGCCCAGCACAAAGACAATTGTACAGCTCACAGGTAGCAGGATGAACTTGAACTCCTCATCAAACCAGCAGTCTAGCTCCACTTCACCATCGCCGAGACCTGGGCTGGGGTCCAGGGATCAGAACAGTGAGAATTCCACACTGCTCATGGTCCCCCTGGAGGGAGAAAAAAATTTGCTGCCTCCACAGCCCTGACTGAAGACCAAATAAGTAGAGAAGAGGGGGAGCAGTGACTGAAGGACTAAACGGAAGACTGAAAGGAGTTCCTTCGGATGCTCACCCTTACTGGAGCTGTCTTGGTCCAATCTGGGGAATGGTGAGCAACGAAGAGTGTTGGGATCCAAAAGGGCAGTCAATGGGCTTGGATGTTGGCATTCTGCAGCCAACCATGATCTTCAGAACCTGCTTAGCTGGAGAGGGTGGCAGCTTAGCAGCACCAGCCAGAGTGGGGAGATGCCCAGCCCCAAAGTGTCTCCTCAGCTCCCATCACAGCTATGCCTCTAGCTAGAAGGCTGTCTGACCCCTGATGCCTGCCTCCATCTCCCCTCACCCTGGTTCCAGTGTCTGTGTATATACAACATTCTTCTCCTCGGATGTCTCCCCCGACCTGCCTACAGCCCATCACTACCACTCCCCGAAAACTTTGGCACATCTCCTACCCGGTCCCCTTGAGGCTGAGCCCAGCTGACTCTGTCACCCTTTACCTTGGCAGCCAGAGGGCATATCCCAGGGGGGTAGTGCGAAGGGGTAGGACCTGCCCCTCCTCCCACCCTGGAAGATTGTCAGAACTAGAAAGGCCCTTGGACATTAGCTAGCTCCACCCACTGTGTGTATAGATTGGGTAACCAGGGACCAGTGAGATTACTATTTAGCAGCTTCAAACCGACTGTAGGAGAGAGTACACAAGGAAACATCCAAGGTTACAGATGGAGAGCCAGGCCACTGGAGATAACCAAACTACAGGATGATCATGCAAGTCTGTGAGTGAGCAGAAGCACAGGAAAAGACTTTGAACATGGACATCTGTAAGAAAACATATTGGAAGACTTTAGAAACTCTAGAGATCTAAATCTTAACTCTACATGCATAGTGTTATAACAAATGCTTCCATAACACTTATTTACCAGACAATGTTTTATGGCCTTTATACTTATCAACAGCTCCACGGGCCCTCTATCGCACCTGATAAGAAAACTAGGGCATGGAGACTTTTAAGTATGTTGCTAATTAGGATACAGTCAGGACTGGAACCCAGGCAAACCTGCCTAAGAGCTAGGCTCCAGCATTCATCATCTACTTGCTGTGCCACAGCCCTGGAAAGGATCACCAAGTGCTTTACTGAAAGCCTGCTATGTGCCTGGGCTAGTTCTAGACACTGATAGCTCATCAGAAGTGAACAGACAAAAACTCCCACCCTAAAATTAATATGTGAATTGTCACAATTGTTATGGAGAAAAATAAAAGGAAGAGGAATAGAGGGAAGGAAAAGGGGGAGAGAGGATGACTGCTTTGAACGTTAGGATTATCACAGCCCAGGAAACAGCAAGGAGGACTCCAGTGGCTAGGTGCCTGCCACCCATGTGTGAGTGGGAGACCTGGATTGAGTTACCAACCCTAAATCCAATCTGGCCCAGTCCCTGGCCTTTTTGCAAGCATTTGAGGAGTGAATCAATGGGTGAAAGCATGTTCTCCCTTCTCTCTGTCTCTCTGCTTCATGAATAATAGCTAATTCATTAATTTTTTTTACAAATATTGTGGTAGGCATTGTGGTACAATGGGTTAAGCCACTGGTTGGATGTCTGCATCCCACGCTGGAGGACTGGTTCGAATTCTGGTTGCCCTGCTTCCCATTCAGCTCCCTGCTAATGTTCCTGGGAGGCAGTATATGAAGCCAAGTTCCTGCCACCCATGTGGGAGACTGAGGTGGCGTTCCAGGCTCCTGGCTTCAGGCTGGCTCAGTTCTGGCTTCTGCAGTCATTTGGGAAGTGGACCCACAGAAGAAAGCTCTTTTTCTCTCCCTCTGTGTTTCCCATGCCTTCTGTCATTCTGCCTTTGAAACAAATCTTTTAAAAATTTAAAAATAAAAACAATTTTCTTGGTTTTTAAAGATTGATTGATTTTACTTTTTTAAAAGATGTATTTATTTTATTGGAAAGGCAGATGTACAGAGAGGAAGAAAGACAGAGAGGAAGATCTTCCGTCCGATGATTCACTCCCCAAGTGCCCACAACGACCGGTGCTGTGCCTATCCGAAGCCAGGAGCCAGGAACTTCTTTCTGGGTCTCCCATGCAGGTGCAAGGTCCCAAGGCTTTGGACCATCCTCGACTGCTTTCCCAGGCCACAAGCAGGGAGATGGATGGGAAGTGGAGCTGCTGGGATTAGAACCAGTGCCCATATGGGATCCTGGAGCATTCAAGGTAAGGACCTTAACCATTATGCTATCGCGCCAGGCCCGATTTGTTTTAAATAGTTGCACAGAGAGATGGAAAGAGAGAGAGAGAGAGAAAATCTTCCACTGAATGATTCACTCCCAGATGGCCATAAGCAGGAGCTTCTTCTGGGTCTCCCATGTGCATAGCAGAGGCCCAAGGACTTGGACCATCTTCCCTTGCTTTCCTGAGCTGTTAGCACAGATCTGAGAAGAGCAGCCTCTGGGACCTGAACCAGTGCCCAAATAGGATCCCAGCATTGCTATCAGAGGTTTTACTTGCTATACCACAACGCAGACCCCTTGTTGTAACTTTTGAGTGAGGGCCAAGTGTGTGAAGGAGAATGTGGAAGAGGAAGTCCAAGAGTTTGGTAGGGACTGGATTGTGAAAGTCCTTGGAAGACATGGTAAGGGCTCTTTGGCTTAGGAAGTCAATGGGAAGCCACTGAGGATTCAGAGGACAAAAGTACTATGATCTAATTTATAGGTTAGAAGGCTTTCTGGGGCTGAAGGAGTGGGATGCACATTTGGCACTTTGGATGCCCACATCCCATATCTGAATTCCTGAGGTGAACATGGCTCTGCTTCCAATTCCAGCTTCCTGAGAGTGGACACCATGGGAAGCAGCAGGTGTTGGCTCAAGGGACTGCGTCCCTGCCACTCACACACGAGATCTGGATTGAGTTCCTGGCTCTCTTTCTCTTTCCCTCTCTCTCTCTCTCTCAATCTCTCTCTTGGTAACACTGCCTTTCAAATAAATGTAAAGATATAGAGAGAGAGATCTTGCCAATAAGGATAATAGTAGCTTGGACCAGGGTGGTGGACTTTGGGAAAAGTGGCCAGATTCTAAACAGACTGAAAGTAGAGGCAGGGTTAGCACTGGGGCACAGCAGGTTAGCCATAGCCTGCAATACTTGCATCCCACATGAGTGCCAGTTCAAGTCCCAGCTGCCTCACTTCCAATCCAGCTCTCTGCTAATGTATCTGGGAATGCAACGGAAAATAAGTCCAAGTACCTGGGCCCCTGGACCTACGTAGGAGAAGCTCTGGATGAAGCTTCTGGCTCTTGGTTTCAGTCTGGCCCAGGCTGGTATTTGTGGCCATTTGGAGAGTAAATCAACAGATGGAAAATATCTCTCTGGGTGTCCTCTCTATAAACCTGCCTTTCAAATAAATGAATAATTTTTTTAAATACAAGGGCCCAGCATAATGATCCAATGGCTAAATCGTCACCTTGCAGGCACCAACATCCCATGTGGGCACCAGTTCATGCCTCAGCTGCTCCATTTCCCATCCAGTTCCTTGATTATGGTCTGGAAAAGCAGTCGAGGATTGCCCAAAGCCTTGAGACCCTGCACCCGCATGGCAGACCCAGAAGAGGCTCCAAGCTTCAGATAAACTCAGCTCTGGCTGTTGCAGCCATTTAAGGAGTTAACCAGCAGGTGGAAGAGCTTTCTCTGTCTCTTCTTCTCTCTGTAAATCTGATCTGCCTTTCTAACTAAAATTTAGAAGAAAAAAAAGAAGAAAGTAGAGGCTAAAAGATTTAATAATATGATGTATGATAGAAGAAGGAATTAAGGGGCTGGCACAGTGGGTCAACAGGCTAATCTTGCACCTGCAAGCACTTGCATTTCATATGGGTGCTGATTCACATCCCAGATGCTCCACTTCTGATCCAGCTCCCTGCTAATGGCCTGGGAAAAGTAACAGCCAATAGCCCAAGTACTCGGGTACATGCACGCTTGTGGAAGACCCAGGTAAGGTCTGTGGCTCTTGGCTTCAGCCTGGCCTGACCCAGTCTTTGTGGTCATTTAGGGAAAGAACCAGTGGATAGAAGACCTTTCTCTGTCTGCCTTTCTCTCTGTAAATCTGCCATTGAAATAAAAATAAATAAATGTTTGCTTAAAAAAAAAAAGAAAGAAAAGAAAAAGAGGAATCAAGAATGACTGCAAGATTCTTGGCCTGAGCAACTGCAAAAATAGTTTCAGCTGACAGGGATGAGTAAGGCTGATAGAGAAGGAGGAGGTTTGGGGAAAGAGCCAGAACTCATTTTCTAGACTGTAAATTTTGAGATGACTGTTACATGTGTAAGAGATGGCCAGGAGGTAATTCATTCCTGTCTAAAAAGCCAAGACAACATGCTTCCCTTACAGATTTTGCCCTCCCCACCCCAATCCCACCTCTCTCCTCACTCCCAGAGACTGTGGTCTGAATACAGTGGAGATGGCACAGAGAGCAAACCCAGGCAACTGAGAGCCCAGTGCCAAGGAAACACTCAATGGCTGGTAGTTCCAGCTGTGAGGCCCCATGGGTACGGCTGTCTAAGACAAACTCTAAGACCGGACAACTCGAGGCTGAAGCAGGCCGTGCCCTTTGGGGAAGGGTGAGCAGACAGGAGTGGAATGTACTTTGAGTACAGCTGAGAAGCAATGAGACCTCTGAACTTGATCTTCAGGTCCTGAGATTATTGCTCAGCTGCATCCTGTGAGTGAGAAGAGGAAGCAGGCCTGCAAGACAGCCTCTTGGAATTCAGGGTTGAGAGCTCCTAGAAGGCCCCAACACCTGGACAGGGAAATCAGGAGTTCCTTGCTCTGTGGCGAAGCAAGAAGTGAGATCAAAGCCAGGAGTAGAAGATGCAGTGATAGAGCTGAAGACTGGGAAGCTGACTGCTGTACGATGCATAAAAGGCCCAGGTTCTTGTAGTCAGGCAGACATGAGTT